ATGTTTGGTAAGGTGGAGGGTCAGAGAAAAAGAGGAAGACCCCCAGCGAGATGGATTGGCAAAGTGGCAGCATCAATGGGCTCAAGCATGGCAACAACAGTGAGGTTGGCCCAGGACTGGGCAGTATTTCGTTCTTTTGGGCATAGGGTTTCTCTGAGTCGGTACTGAGTTGATGGCACCTAACAACTTCCTTTTTTTAGTTATTCCAATAAAGAGATGGGATTATATGGTTCATTCATCAAAAAGTCTTTCTTTTGAATACAAACATCAAGACATTTTCCTACTTTTATTTTCCTCCTTTTCCATAAAAAGGGATAGCATCATTGGCAAATAAGGTATTGCACACAAATTCATTTTCCAGTTCCTTCAACACCAGAACTTTCCTTCTTAACCTTTCTAAAATGTGTTCTCGATATTGTGTACCCTAGACAGAATAATAGCAGCTCTCATTTCTTGAGGCCGTCATTGCCCCACATGCTAACTCTATCAAATCTAAGCAAAGCCCGACTGTCCCTGTTGTCACCTGAGGGCCCTGAGGTGCAAACTATCTAACTTGTCCAGTGTCTCGCATCTAGCAGATGGCAGAGTTAACACTCAAACCTTGTTCTCTGCCTTGGTTTACGCTATTGAAGTCAGACCTACTCCTCACTCACAAGCCAAAGTTTCCCACTTAGCACAGTATTAAAACTCCAACTCTGCAACTCCTGCCCATTAACAGCAGATGCCCGGCAGGAACAGGTGCGAGGCAAGAGGCTCATGGGCTGCGATGGTTTAGGGTATGTGTCAACTTTGTTGGGCCATGGTTCTTGGTTTGGCAGTCATGTAATGATGTAATCTGACAGTTAAGTATGTTGAAATAATTAGGCAGTTATGTAAAGATACGGTCATCCTCCATTTTCACATAATGCCAGTTTCACAACCTGGTCTTTGGAAAATCAGCCCTGTCGTTAAGTGAAGAGCAGGAGTATGACACTTCTTCACGGTGGCATGTGCTGCACTGGAATTTAGTGCAATAAAGCACTCGTGCGAGTTAAGTGCCATCGAATCAGTTCTGACTCACAATGACCCTTTAATAAGAGTTTCCAAGGAGCAGATGGTGTGCTTGAACTGCCAACTTGTGGTTAGCAGTCCAGTGTTTAGCCTGCAATGCCACACCAGGATTCCAGGAATACACTTAAAGGAGACCATATAAATTGCTCAGTGCTCTTTAGATTTAAATGTTTCTGAGTTCTTGTTTTTGTTTTGTATACTTTTTCTCTGTTCTGTGTCGAACATAATGTGTTTCTATTGTGTTATGCCTTCCCTCTTTTTAAGTTCAGAAACTAGAAAATCAAATGACTGAACTTAATTATTTTTAAGAGAAGTAAGGTGAAGTCAGTAAGGTGAAGGAGCTCTGGTAGCGAGCGAGCGTAGTGGTTACGAATTGGGCTTCAACCGCAAGGTCAACAGTTTGAAACTACTAGCCGTTCCACAGGAGAAAGATGAGGCTTTCTGCTCCCCTAAAGATTTAAAGCCTCGGAAACTCTGTACTGGGTTGGTCTGGGTCTGAACCGACTCCACGGCACATTACCACCACCGATCTTTATAGGAGCAGATCTCCGGGTCTTTCTCCTACAAATCCTCTGGATGGGTTTAAACCATTAACGTTTTAGTTAGCAGCTGAGCTACTTAATCATCTGTACCAACAGTACATAGTTGGTGGTGGTGTTAAGTGCCATGGAGTCGGTTCTGATTCATTCGTTGTTGTTAGATGCCATCAAGTCAGTACCGACTCATAGCGACCTCATGCACAACAGAACGAAACACTGCCAGGTCCTGGGCCAACCTTACTACTTAAGCCCACGGATGCTGGCTGACACTTTGCCAACCCATCTCATTGGGGGGATCTTCCTCTTTTTCTCGGACCCTCCACCTTACCAAACGTGATATCCTTCTCCAGCGACTAGTCCTTCCTGACACTATGTCCAAAGTATGAGAGACGAAATTTGGCCATCTTAGCCTCCAAGGAGCACTCTGGCTGCACTTTTTTGAACACACATTTGTTTGTTCTTTTGGCAGCCCATGGCACTTTCAATATTCTCCTCCAACACCGTAACTCAAAAGCATCAATTCTACTACGGTCTTCCTTATTCACTGCCCAGCTTTTGCATGCATATGAGGTTATTGAAAATACCATGACTTGGGTCAGGTGCATTTTAGTCCTCAAGCTGACATCTTTGCTCTTCAACACTTTAAAAAGGTCTGTGCAGCATATTTGCCCAATGCAATACGTTGTTTGATTTCTTGACTGCTGCTTCCATGAGTGTTGATAGTTGATCCAAGAAGAATGAAGTCTTTGACAATTCACTCTTTTCTCCATTCATAAGAATGTTGTTTATTGGTCCAGAGGTGAGGATTTTTGTTTTCATTGAGGTGCAGCCCATACTGAAGGCTGTGCAGTTCAGTGCATTAACCCACAGTGCCATACACAGGACATAGTTTTCTAAAAATATGTCCATGCCCACTGTAAAGTAGGCATGTTGTTCTCAAACATTTGAGGGGAAGTGCCTTGGTCACTGCTTCTTTGAATCACGGCCATCTGTCAACTAGATATGGGTTACCATGTAAAACGGAGCCTTTGTAGCAGAGTCATTTAGCCTGGAGCTACATTTCGGAACAGAAGTAGAAGAATAATGCTGAGCTGAGTTGGCGCAGCGGGTTAATGCGCTGGACTGCAAAGTCGGCAGTTCAAGCTCACCAGTCTTTCCTCATAGGGTCAAACAACAACCCCGAAGCAAGGGTAGAGCAACCATCTATAGTGACTCTGACATTTGGCGGAGTCAAATGCTGTTTTTCCTGTAAAGTTCTGTGCATACTTAAAACATTTTAACAGGCCATGCGTAAGTAAAATAGATATTCTTTGTAACTTGTCTATTTCTTCATAAGTGTATTAAGTGTAGTTTGTTTACTATATATTGAAATTCATGTTAGAAGATCTTATTTAAAGAACAATTACATCTGACAAACCCGACTTTAAAATTCTGTATTTTCTGAAATGATTTATCAGAACATCATTTGTGGCGCGCAGCGGAAGAAGCTTGACGATCTCGCGAGATTTCGGCACCTGGGGGAGGAAGGACGTGGTGGCGGCTCCGAAGCGGGTGCGCGATGCACTCGGAGAAGGATGCGGCCGCTGGGGCCGGGCCTACTGTGGCTACTCGGGGCTCGAACGGGTGGGAGAAGCCCACAGCGCTCGCCTCTCGCGGGGTCCCAACCACGGAGCTCCAGTTCCGCTGGGAGTCGCCGAGGCGAGAAGCAGAAATGCCGCCGGCCTCCGGTTGTGGGGGTGGCGCCGACAAACCACGCGAGGAGAAGAGGCCGGTGCTGAACAAGGTCCGGGCTGGGGGCGGGGTCTGGGCGGGGCGAGCAGCCAGTGGGCAAGGCGCCGTCAGCACCCCGGAGAGCGCCAGCGCGGGCTGAAAAACGCTGGATCGGAGCTGGGGAAGGAGTTTTCAGCACTTTCTAACTTGACCCTTTCTGCTTTGTGGAGGAAACAGTCATTTAAATTCTGTGAATAGTTTTCAGTTGGATTTAAAATCCTTGGATCAGCTAGGTAACCTGTTAAAGAGTAAGAGCATTTCTCCTTTCTCTCCCTTCGTCCACCCTTCAGTTTTCCTACATCCTTCCAGATAGGATTTAAAGAGGTCTCGAATTTGAAGCATGAGATTGCTGACAAGCCCCCAAACTAGGCACACGATTGCTTAGTTGGTAGAATCTCACAGGCACATAAAGAAAGTTCCAGAGACAGAAATAGAAATAGCTACTGCAGAAAGTATTCCCAGATAATCCTTTTTATGAGCATCCCTGGCAGAAGAGACGGAGAATTATGAACATTACTAAAGAACCACCGGAATATGACAGAGGAGAGGTGATACAAGTGCTTCAAGTCAGGAACTAGCGGCAATAAGCCCAAACCCACCTTTACTTTACTACATGCATTTCTCTGGGGGTGTTTACTGGGAGAGTGGGAGAGAAGATTTGATTTCTCAGTTCGAGCACAGACAAAACATATGATGCACCAGTAGTTTTCTTGATGTAGTAATGAAACAATTGCACAGCCTTTAAGGACTTCACTGAGAATTTTTTAATTACTCAGCTCTGTATCCTTCCCGCTCCTTGGAAACCCAATACAGGGTGGCTGTGAGTCGGAACTGACTCAGCAGCACTCAACAACCACAATCACCGGACCCTTTGACATCCCTGCTCTCCATTCTGGTGTGTCTCAGTGTTTATTGAGTATGTGTTTCTGTTGAGCTCCGGCTGTAGATTTTCCTCTGGCCACAAACACAAGTGATCATGCATTCAGATCATTGATGCCTACCGTGTTAATGGTGAAAACAAAATCCAGTCATCTCCTGTTTACCTTGGTGCTCCTCAGGTTGTCATACGGCGGCTGCCTCCTAGTCTCACGAAGGAGCAGCTGGAAGAGCAGCTACGTCCACTCCCTGCGCACGATTACTTTGAATTCTGTACTGCTGATCTCAGGTGAGAAGAAATGTTCAATTTCAATGTTAAAAACTGACAGGTGTTGTGAGTTTGGGGCAATTATTGAAGGTAGTAGAAGTCATTCTTTTTTCCATATTCTCTTCCAAATGTCCCCAGAAATCAGTCCCATTATTTATTTTTGCAGGCTACTTCTAAGTAAGAAGACTATGAAATTCCTCTAAAATAGAATTTTGGAAAATATTTCTACTATCATTATCATGAGGTGCTCTGGTGGTGGTGGTGGTGTGCCGTGAAATCGATTCTGACTCATAGTCACCCTGCGTAGGGTTTCTGAGGCTGTAAAACTCTACAGAGCAGAAAACATCTTTCTCCCGTGGAATGGCTGGTAGTTTCAAACTGCTGACTTTGAGGTTAGCAGCTGACTTCAGAGCTGGTAGCATAATAAATTATGAGCTGGGGTGCTGAGTGCTCACTTCATTGTCAACCGTTCAAACCTACCAGTGTCTCCACAGGATAAAGAGGAGGCTTTCTGTTCCTGTGAAGATTTAGTCTTGGAAATCCCATACACGTTCACTAAGTTGTAATCAATTCAGTGGCAACACAACTACCATCACCAGCATCGTTTCCACAAGGAGCCCTGGTGAGGCTGTGGCTTAGTCTGTGGGCTGCTCATTGCAAGGGCTGCAGTTCAATCCCACAAGCCTCTCTGCAGGAGAAAGATGAGGCTGTCAATGCATTCAAAGAAAAAATTGCCAGTAGGTAAACATGTTATTGTTAAGCGCCATTGAGTCAGTTCCGACTCAGAGCAACTCTGTATAGGGTTTCCGAGGAGCAGCTAGTGAGTTTGAACCACAGACCTTGTGGTTCAAACTGACATTTCAGTCCAGTGCTTAGCCTATAAAGATGATTTTCACATGACTGAAGTTTAGGGGAAAACTGGTATCGTTGAAAGAGGACAAGCCTTGAAATTACGATGGCCCAGATTGGAATCCCAGTTTGACCTTTAACTAACCAAACCCTTTACAAGAGCCTAGTTTCCCTGAGCCTCAGTGATTTGACCTGTAATGCGGATGACAGGTAGCTTCCTGTTAGGGAAATGCGGCGGGGTAGCTGTGGAACAGGGCGGGAGGGCCTGGTTCTTCCTGAAACCTCAGTGAGCCTTTGAATCATGTGCTGCAATAAACACTCATATATACTTAAAAGTGTTCTCTGAAATAGTGAAGACTTTCTTGTGCAATATGAGATTGACATCTGCTTCACCCAGTCATGACTGCAACTCTCCACCGGTTGTGATGCTTGATGCAGGAGGAACCTTTTCTCTGGTCTTTGCACCTCTGAAGATCAGTATTGTACTCCTGGCTTTATGCCGTAGAGAAACTCATCCTGAATTGTCTCTCGCAAATAATAAGTGGGAAAAAAAATCTGTTTACTTTCCCCCACAAAGAATAACCAGTTGACTTGAGATACCCGAGACATGATTCCTTGGCACAAAAGCTTTGTCGGAAGTAGTTTGTTGTGTCCAGAAAGGAAAGGAGCAAAATGAAAGGAGTCGTGTGTGTTTTGCTAATCACAACCTCTTGTTTCAGCCTTTATCCTCATCTCTACTCAAGAGCATACATTAATTTTAGAAATCCTGATGACATCCTTCTGTTCAGAGACCGTTTTGATGGCTTTGTCTTCATTGACAGTAAAGGTTAGGTCTTTGACTTTTTAATGATTATTTTCAGTCTCTGTATATTAATGAAATTTCGTGGGAATATTTGTGAAATTTAATATGTGCTCAGATACTACTCTGAAATAAGCTCTTAAATTTTGGTTTTGTTACTGTGATTGTGTCTCCGAGATTAAAGTTAAAATGATACATAAACTGAAAGGTCTCTAGCAAACCTGCATGTAAATGCCGACCCATGTGTTTTTGTATATTATCATTGGAGAGCGACATTTTTCAAATCAGCAAGTTTTCTGGATCACTGAATCTTACATTTTTATGTCCTAAGACTGAAGTATTTCATAAACATTTTCTAAAATGTATTATACACTTTGTGTCATACCAAACAGAGTACTGCTCATGATCTTAACCATTTGGGGGTTGGGCATATGAGTTAGGATTAGGACCATGGCTAAATCTTGGCTAGCCTTGGGGCTTCCTTTATTGTTTGGATTTCACTTCAGAACCTAGGGTTAGGGTTAGGGTTAGGAAGAGGGGTTGGGCTAGGGCTAGGAGTAGGCTTTGCTCTAGTTTTAGGGTTATAGTTAGGTGTATTTTTATTTATTTCATTTCTGGATGATGTCATGGAGATTTTTGTCATAATGAGCCTCAGTTGTGTTCTTAAGCATTATTTTACCCCTGTAGTACATAGCTCCATGGAGTCCTGGTGTGGTGCTGTGGGTTCATGCGCTGGACCACAAAGTCTCTGAACTGCAAGGTCAGCAGTTCAAGCTCACCAGCTGCTCCTTAGAAACCCTATACAGGGTCGCTGTGGGTCGGAACCGACTCGACAGCACTTCACAACAAGTACATGGCTCTACTTTCTGTTCTTTCTGGGGGATTACAGCTGATTTGTTTTTCTTCCTTTCTTGTCTGACCACCAGCTGTTGTATTTGCTGCTGCCAAGCCCGAACTGTAACCCTTTAACAGTAAATTCTTTTCTACCCTCTCCTCACCAGCTAACCTCTTTCCACTCCATCTCCACCCATCCTACTGAATTATTTTCTTCTCTTCTACTGTGGGGTCACAAACTAGAAAAGATCATTATAGTGTAAATAGGCTGAAGGCCGAAAAGTTTTTCCTAAAAAGAAAAAGAAGTCTAGTTCACGAACTACTTGACTGTTGATTAATTACATATTCCAGTCCCATTTAGTAAGTTTCTTAGCAGGCGCAGCAGTAGCAATGTAGAGACAGCAGAGACTCAGACATTGCTCCCACTGCTCCAAAGACCTGCTTTCTGCCTGGTTATTTGCTTTATTCTGGTTAATTGAGGTCAGCACAAAAATGTCTTTTAGACAAATGAGAGATACAATATCATACTAACATAACACAATATCATACCGAAAATGATTATTCAGTGGGTTTAGTACTGAGATACTAGTGTTCCGTTTGTTGGTTAAACATGAAACAGATCCTCGTGTGAAACTTTGTGTGTTGGTTTTCCTCAGATACAAAATCTGTTTCTAGTGACTTCCATTTGAGGCAGATATTATACATATTATACAGTATTCCTTTTAAGTCCCTTTTAAAAACCATCTGTCTCCTCTAAACAAAGTAATTTCCCTGAATGCATATAGCAGATTGATAACTGAGTTAACCCTTTAAAAATTCGTAGTTTAAGAAAATGTACCTAAGGTATTCTAAGTTAATGATCTTTGGAGAGAGCAAGCTTGTTGAAGTAGCACTATATATGGTAAAATTCACCACTTGAAAGTGTACAGTTTGATGAATTTTGGAGGTATTCAGTCCTGTAGCCACTACTACAACACGATGAACTGTTTGATTTAATAAGTAATCACTTTGCCCGTTATCAGTTTATCCTTTGTGTAAATCTGGAATTTAATAAGTCAGAGGTACTCAACAATGTACGGTCATGTGCCGCTTAATACCCATGATACAGTCTATGAAATAGAATGTTGTGTGATTTGGACATTGTGTGACCACCCTATTATACACAGGTGGTTGTTGTTAAGTGCCACCGAGTCAGTTCCGACTCATAGCGACCCTGTATAAGGTTTCTGAGGAACGACTGGTGAGTTGGAACTGCCGACATAGTGGTTCAAACCAACCTTGAGGTCAAGTCCGTACCCTACAGTGCCACACCAGGACCCCATCATATACTGGAAGATCCTGTATATAATTTGTGCGTAAATTGGAACAGTTAAGTATGGTTCATATCTCACCTCAATCAGATATTTGTTCCAGTATGAGGAGGCTTCAAAAAGTTCCTGGGAAAATTCCATTATCTTATAACTCCTTTTCTCTGTGAACTCTTTGAAGCCCTCTTGTATATAGTGTACCTCTCTCTGCATAACAAACTTTAAAGAAGCATTTATAGATACACTAAAACAGCTTGAACATAATAATACAGGAATAATGTTTGAGGCGGGTGCCCGTTATTATGAACCACTGCTTGCATCTTGAATTTTTAAAATAATAGGTGTTACAGGGGAGTCCTGGTATGGCGCTGTGGGTTAATGCGCCAGGCTACAAAGCCCTTTGAACCTCAAGGTTGGCAGTTCGAGCTCACCAGCTGCTCCTCGGAAACCCTATACAGGGTCGCTGTGGGTCAGAATCAACTTGATGGCACTTAACAACAACAACAGCAAGGCATGACAAGGCTTGGGACCACAGACGCAGAACGTGTCAGATGTTGTTTGCACAGATGCAGCTTTGTGCATTATAAGCCACAGTCATGCACAAACTGTAATAATTTAAAGCAATTTTAATAACACATCACCATTATTATGCTTAACCCTCTAAGTAAGCTACAGGGTATGTATGGAGTAGAATTCAGAATAATTTTTGTAGCATTTTTTTTCCATTAAAGGCTTAGAATATCCTGCCGTGGTAGAATTTGCTCCATTCCAAAAGATATCCAAAAAGAAGCTAAAGAAAAAAGATGCCAAAACTGGAAGCATTGAAGATGGTAAGTTCTTTTTTTAAAAAAATTACTGGAATATGAAACTACCACAGTAAATATACTGGTCACATAGCATTCCTCTCCCATGTATGTAGAGGAAACCTTTTTCTTCTTCTTTTTTGAATGTACAGACCTAGACTATAAGAAGTTTCTGGAAGCTTACTGTGTGGAGGAAGAGAAAATCGTAGCCAGTCCTGAGTCTCTTCTGGGGGAGATCGAAGCCAAGACAAGAGAACTCATTGGTCTGTTTTGCTCATTTCTTCTCTTCATTGAGACATATATTTTTAGAGACTGTGCATTTTTCTTCTTTTTCATGATATTTGTAAAAAATGAAAACTTGTTACAGTCTTGGTAGAAATGTATTTTCCAGTTTGACAAAAAGGCTGTCAAGACAGCAACTTGGGAAAATGTTTAGCGCATTTGCTGATAGAAAGCACCTGAATTTTTAGTTACAACTGTTTTGTTTTAGAATCACAATGCTTCCAGATAAGCTGGGGGTAGGGTCTTTGAATGCTGTGTGTGGCTGTGTTAGGGAAGGTGCCCCGTACTTACTAAAGCCCAAGTCAGTCGTCTTTGCAGAGTGTATGGCTTAGGGGCCCGCAGAAATGGAACACTTGGCTTAAGTATGAGGTCACTTTACTGCTGTGTAAAATGAACCAAGCCCCCTGAGCAGGCCAAACGGACACGTGAATGAACCCTGCGGAAGCCCACAATCTCGTTTAGACCCTAGCCTTGGATGCTACACCTACAGATGGTGTTCGGCAATATTTTCCAATTGTCTTTCAGTCGACTCTGACTCCTGGTGACCCCACATGGGACTCCACAGCCAAACCCACTGCCGTGGAGTTGGTTCTGACTCACTGTGACCCTGTGTTGGGCTTCTGAGACTGTACATCTTCATGAGCACACACCCTCATCTTTCTCCCTTGGCGCTCCTGGTGGGTTTGAACTGCCAACCGTGCAGTTAGCAGTCCAGTGCTTATCCTACAGCTCCACCAGGATTCCTTTGTCTCCTGTTGTTGTGAGGTACCATTGAGTTGGTTCTGACTGAAAATGACCCTGTTCACAACAGAGCGAAATCCTGCACCGTCCTTACAGTTACGTTCGAGCCCATTGATGCTGCCACGGTGTCAGTCCACCTCATAGAAGGCCTTCCTCTAGTGGTGGTGGTGATGTGCCATGGAGTCGGTTCTGACTCGTAGTGACCGTGTATACAGTTTCCGAGACTGTCAATCTTTACGTGAGCCCAAATCCTCCAGAGGAGGTGTGAGCCAGTGTTAGTCATCAGCTGGGAAACTGATTGTTGTTTGCAAACACACCTCAGAGTCTCTCTGTCTGTTTCTTCTCAAGGCCTCTGTGTTCCTTGCCTTGTCCCCTTCAGCCCAGCTCCATCCTCATGGCGCTGAGCCCTATAGCTGTGTGTTCGCTGATCTCCCCTGCACACAAACACCCTCTGGTCCCAGCTGCCCATTCCTCCTAAGTGTAGTGTTTACACAAGCGTAGGTGTTGAGTAAATGTTTGCTGAGTAAATTAACGAGGATGGTTAATGTTTTTGAAATAGAGTGTTAGGTTCATGCACTGGACTGCAGAGTCCGTTTGAACCGCAAGGTCAGAGGTTCAGGCTCACCAGCCACTCCTCGGAAACCTTAACAGGGTTGCTGTGAGACACAACGAGTCAATGGCATTTAACAACAACAACAACAGTGTAATCACAAAGTTTTTTTCAGTAGCAGCTGATTTAAAGTGTGACACAAAGGCGTTTTAATCACCAAAAGTCAATGTAAAGAGACACGTAGCACACATTGGCTTGTTTTCTATGTAGCAGGTGTTGACTGATGACCAGCTCTAAGCAGGTACTGTTGTAGGCACTGGGAAGGTAGCCATGGAAAAGGTAGCTGAGGGCTCTGTGGGCTGACAGGGAAGACGTGTGTGCAGGAAGAAACCAGCAAGAAAACTTCCAGTTTTTGGTTTATGTGCCGCAAATGAAATGAAACAGATAATGGGAGAGAAAGAGAGTGCTCAGGGGAGACCTTCTGAGGAGATGTTGGGGGGAGAGCACTCAGGGGAGACCCCTCTGAGGAGATGTTGGGGGGAGAGCGCTCATGGGAGACCCCTTTGAGGAGATGTTGGGGGGAGAGTGCTCAGGGGAGACCCTCTGAGGAGATGGTAGGGGACAGTGCTTAGGAGAACCCTCTGAGGAGATGTTGCGGGGAGAGTGCTCAGGGGAGACCCTCTGAAGAGATGGTGGGGGAGAGCACTCAGGGGAGACCCTCTGAG